GGACGCGGGTTCGTGCCCCGGTCCGGGAAGATCCCACATGCCGCGGAGCAGCTGGGCCCGTGAGCCATGGCCGCTGAGCCTGCGCGTCCGGAGCCTGTGCTCTGCAACGGAAGAGGCCACAACAGTGAGAGGCCCACGTACCGAAAAAAAAAAAAAGAACTAACTAGACCCAAATGGCAATAGTGCCAAGGCTGAGAAACACTGATCGAGATGTTTTTCACTTCTCTAGCCATCTCCCCACCCCCTCCCTCCCCCCACAATCTTGAGATGGTACTTCTGAAACTCAACTCAGTAGAGAACAAATCCTTTTTTATTATAAGCACATCTCACTGTTAGATTCATATCCTAGTTGTTCTCATTCTCAATTACAGCACCGTCTTGAAAAAGTAGATGTAATTAAGTTTGGTAGTTTGGTTTCATTTCCCAGTATCTGGTCGAAGGAGCAAATTCCATCAGTTACATTCATCGCTGCAACAACGTTAGTCTCCAGCAATAATAACCTCCACATGGCTTCGTCCGTGGGTGTGCAGATCTGAACTCTGAGATCTTCTCTTTACTTTCTTCGTTTGGATTTCATTAAACTTGCCAATGCAAGCCTTAAAGCAAAGGAAAACTGTTTAAAGGGAAAATCTATGAAAATTCAGGCCTTATCACAACAGAGAAGGCAAACAGCGCTTATAGCAATTAAACTGATATGGAAACTTCTGTTTAACAATCAAAGTGCCTATTAAGATGTCTCCATAGCTGAACAAAAGCTTCTTTTCTACTCTAATTTTCTGATAACAAGACACGCAGACACAGAGTCAGAATTATGACCATCCCTGGTGCCTTTGGTTCCAGGGATAGAATAATAGACATTTCTTCCCAGATATTTTCATTTGCAGTGCATGGCAAGGGAGAGGGCTGGAGAGAAGGAGCGCTTTTCTTCCCTCCTTTAGGTCCCACTGTTGATGCCCTCTCAAAAGTGCCTCTGTATAACGGAAGGGGAGAAACCAGGAGGCTTGGTCTTTGACACCTTGGTAGCCAGATAGTCAAACAGAAGCCACGATAGAACAGACCAATATTAATAAAGCATCATGGTACGTTGAGCCATGATGAAATGAAAAACTCAGGCTCTGACCTGGTGAGTTTGAACTCAGGCTAACAGAGGAGTCAGGCATGGGGAAAACTCTTGAAAACATTTAACACAGAGACATCGCGTAAAAATGGGTGATGATAAAGCAAAGGAAAAGGAGGGAAAAGAAGAGGAAGAAAAAAATAAGAATGATGATATGGATTTTAAAAATAAGAAATAAGAAAAATAATAAATATGCTTTGGGTTGAGTGTTACCATGTGCCAAGCACTATTGCCAAATAAGCCCTTTACATATATTATCTCATTTTATCCATACACTGCATGTGTGTGCACATGTGATGTATCAACTGTTATCATTGGTGCCACTTCACCAACAAGGAAATCGAGAAGTTATACCATTTGCCCAAGGTCACACAGCAAGTAAAGGCCAGGACTGGGTTTTTTAAATTCAGGTCACATAGCTGGGGCTCAATAAACGACAGCCAATTTCATAGATGGGAATACTGAGGCTTAGAAGCAATAAGCAACTGTCTATAGCTAAGAAGTGACTGAGTGGTGATCTGAACCTCAGAGAGGAACAAACTGGATGCTTCTAGTCCAGACTGCTCTCCAGATACACGGAGTTCAACCCATCCTATATTGTCTGTGCCTCCTACCTCTGTCTGGGGAAAGCAAAGGAAACACTGAGAACCAGCCCTTTCAAACTCAGAAAAGGGCCTCAGAGGCCCAGAAAGCAATGTCACAGTATGTTGTTTATTCCTACTATCATTCATACAGTTACTCAGTAAACATTTTGTTCAATATGCCTACCCACCACCCCCAAAGATGTCCATCCTAATCCCTGGGCCCCATAAAATATATGACTTAACAGGCAAAAAGAGATTT